GTGTATTGCTCTTTGACATAGAGCGCCACACCCCCTCCCTTCCTTCCTTCCTTCTCTATCCTGCCTGTAGAGCCTATAGCCCCTAATGCTAACTGCCCAGTCGTGGGATGAATCCCACCACGTTTCTGTAAGCCCCACTATGTCTGGGTTTGAACTGGCTATTCTGAGGGTGAGTTCCTCCTGTTTGTTCCCCATACTATGAGCATTGGTATTCAGGCATTTAAGGCCTTGCATAGCTGCGTGTGCCACCCCCGATTTGGAAGACTATCTGGACCTCCGTTTCTTACCTGGGCACTCCTTGCATCCTGTGCCCAGTGTCACCTGTCTTGCTCAGGTGGTGTCTCCATGTCTTCCTGCAGCCCACTTTAAAGCTTGCCGTATGAGATCAGCCAACCTGGAAAAGAAGACATGCTTGCCTTTAGGAGAGAGGTGAAGCCCATCCCACCCCAGCAAGTCTCCCGCCCGAAAACATGGGTCATTATCTAGGAGCCCAAGGCTCTTCTGTGGAAGAGTTGGGAAAGAATGAAGGGATCCTCTGGGTGAAATGCATCAAGTTGTAATCTCCCATTGGGCATACTGAGGCTTCCCTCCGTGTATGAAAGCCATTTGGCTCCATGGGTGTCCTGTAGGACCCACTCCAAGAGGTTAATAACCCATCCTGCAGAGAAGGCCCTCGGAGTTAAAGTGGACAGTAAGGTGACTGTAAGCCAGCAGTGTGGCCTTGTTGCCAAGAAGGCACTTCAAGAGGGATGCGGAAAATCTGGAGAAGGTTCAGAGGAGGGCTACTCGTATGATTAGTGGCCTCCGTACAAGACCCTACGGGGGGAGGTTGAGGGATCTGGATCTCTTCAGCCTTCACGAGAGGCAGCTGAGAGGTGACCTTGAAGCCGCCTATAAGTTTATCAAGGGAGGACAACAGAGAATTGGAGATGCGCTATTTACCAGGGACTCCTAGGAGTAACTAGGAATAACAGGTACCAACTAGTGGAGAGTAGATTCAGGTTAGACATTAGGAAGACATTTTTCAAAGTAAGGGTGGCCAGAATCTGGAATGGGCTGCCAAGAGAGGTTGTACTCTTATCTAATCTGGAGGTCTTCAAGAGGAGTCTAGATAGACACTTGGCTGGGGTAGGGGGTCTGACGCAATGATCCTTCGTGGTCCCTCCCACACACACACACACGCGCGCGCACACACACACACACACACACACACACTGCCCGAGTGCCTGCAGGTGTGCGCGCGCACACGCACACACACACACAGACACACTCTGCCCCTTTGCCTACAAACTCGCGCGTGTGCATACACACATACACACCTCTACCAGGGTGGTCCCATGCTCTGTGGTTGGGGGATGCATCTAGGAGCCACATGGTGCTGGAGCAGGAAAGCAGGGAACTGGATGGGGGTGGGCAGGGCTGGGCTGCTCAAGCCTGTAAGCCTGCTGAGGGCTCCCTCTGGGTCCTACTGCCCCTGGCTCCAGCTAGCATTGACAGGTAGCCAGGTGAATAAATATTAATTTACTAAATTTTTTAGGGGCTCTGTAAGCTAGATAAAATGGCCTGGTGGGCCGCATCCGGCCCACGGGCCGTATTTTCCCTGCCCCTATATTATGTAATATAAAATAAGAAAATGGCACCCAGTGGCAACTGGCAACTCTAGATTTCTCTTACTGCAGTTTTCTGTACCGTAAACTTGAGTGATAGATTCTAAACCTAGTTAACTAATTAAACAAGCCATAAGGATTAGCTAAGCTAAACTTTTTTTCTAGCAACATCCGACATAGCAAACAGCTTGCAAATTTACTTGTTAAATCACACTTATATTAAAAGGCATAGAGAGAGTCTTGAAGAACGATGCATTGCAAAGTGAGTTATTTAATTTACTAACCAGTTGCTCCACATTGATCTTCGGACATATCCACATCTCCAACCAATACATTTTCTCCCAATAAGCAGTATTCATTATGAAGTTTCCTTCTTGCAGCTAGGCCCTGCATCTCCTTCTTGCACTGCTTACACATGACAGATTTTCCTTTTTTACCCAGGGAAGGAATTTCTTCAAAATATTCCCAGATGGGGTCTCTCTTATGCCCAGAAGCCATGACAGTTTTTCTGTGGCAAAAGTGTGGGGGAATATAGGAAGCTGTGTGTGTACTACTGAATAATGTCTCCCCTTTTTCAGTCCACTCCACTGCTCCTTTCTACTCTGCCTCCCTCCTTTCCTATACCGTTTCTCTGTCTTTAAGACAGTGTCTTAACTAACTCCTCTGCCTTGCTTGGCCCAGCTCCACCACCACATAAGCACAGAACAACTATCCTATCCAGCCTGGGTCTTTCCACGTGTGACTTCAGTCTGCTGAGAAACAGAAACTGAAAGCCCACAACTTTCAAGAAGCAAGA